TAAATCGGGTAAAATATAATAGTTTTTCGAGCTTATTAGCTGTTCGATACTAGCATTCTTTATAAGTCTTAACGAATCGTTTAATATCTATATAATATTTATTTTAAAAGTAGCGTTAAAAATACGATAATAAGTTAATTTATAGCTTTTATAACTATTTTTATCGTAATAAGCTGTAATAATATCCGTTTTAATCGAAAGTTTATTAATTATTAATCGAAAAAAAAGACTTTTCGTCGAAAGTCTTTTAAGTTTCTTATCGTTTATCTCGTATTTAATAGCTTTTTTTTTAAATTTACGGCATTCTATTTTGTTTAAGTCTTTAAGTCTTCGCAAAGTCGTTAAGAAAGTAACTATTTAAATTAATTTCAAAAAGTATTCGATTAAGTTTAAAAGACTTTTGTAATCGTAGTCGTCGTTAAACTCGTTTAAGTTTGTATTCTTCGTTTTTTTCAAGCGTTAAAATATGTTTTTAAGAATAAATTAACGAATATTTATTAAAAAGTTTATTAAAAGTTTTTCGAAGTCGTTTCGAGCTTTAATAAGTCTTAAGTCGACTAGCAAGCTATTATCGAACTTATTTTTATCTTTTTCGTTTAAATTATTGAAGTGCCGTAACCGTCTTGATAATGCATCGATAGCGGTATAATCTTTATTAAAGACATATCGAACTTTAAAATCCAAAAAATTGATTTAAGTTAATTAGCGTATAATTAAAGCCGAAAGTATATCGATAGCTTTTCGTCGAAGCTAAGCAACGAGCACTTTAGTATTAATTTTAAAAATAAAGTGTATTTCGATAATCTATAACTTAAGTTTCTTAAAAACTTTAAATACTTCGCAGCATTTTCGTTTAATAGCGTCGTAGTTCCGTTTTGTTTTCGTTTAAGCTTTAAATTCGTATCGAGCTAGTTACACTTTATTAAAGATAATCTTGCGTTAACCGATATATCTTTTTTATTTTTTTAAGCTAACGTCCGTTCTTATTATTATTATTTTATTTTAGTCTTTATAATCGATTTTAATTAAAATCGAAGCCGTCGTTAAAGCGTTTTATAATATTCGTATAACTTTCGAATACGCTTCGGTTTATTATTAATTTATATCTTTTTTCGTAAGGTTATAAAAAAAGTTAATAATATATGCGAATCTTTTAATTTAAATATAAAAGTAAAAGCAAAGGCTTAAAAATCTTTTAACTTTAATAACGTTTTCGAAAGTTTTTTAATTATTAATTTTAATAATTTTATTTATAACGAATTCTCGACTTTTCGAATTGCATACGAATCTTATTATATTTATTTTATTTTAGCAAAACTATAATTTTTTTTCGATTATAATATTAGCGCGCTTAATCCGTTTTAAAGTCTTATTAATATTTTAAATATATTCGAATACGAATCGGCGTATACTCGAAAGTGCTTTTTCGTCGGAATAGTTCGTTTATAATTCTTTTACTTTAATATCGTCGATAAATAGCATAAAGACTTTAAGTTGCAAAAGCTTTAAAATAAGATTAATTGTTCGAACGAATTAAATTATCGAGTTCGTAGCATTTTGCGAAAAAGTAATATATTAAAAAAGACTTAACGGTATAAAAAAAGCGGTAAAGTTTTTACTCGATTAATAAAGTGTTTGCTAATCATAGCTCGAATAAAAGTCGATTAAGCTAGCTATTTAACAATTAGAAAACTTTTTAATAAACTTATTTATAATTAAAAGTAGATTAGCGTTCTTTTTTATAATTGTATTAAATAAAATTGCTAAGTTAATAAGTCTATATTAGCTCGGCTGCTTTTTAATTATTAAAAACTATTGATTTCGGTACGGTTTTTCGCAATACTTTAAAACTCTTTTATTAAGCTTGTTTTAAAGCATTTTAATAATAATAAATTATAAAGCTTTTGAATACGAATAATTAAAAGCTTATTAAGCCGTATATAAGATGGTTTTAAGCTTAATCGATAATGAAACGTCGTCGTAAAATCTATCGCATTCTTGCTAAGCGAATGCGATTGATTTTTTTTTACTTAATATTATCTTTTTAAATAAATCTTTTTCTTTAAGCCGTAAAGTATTACCGATATTTAAGTTCGTTATACGTTCGAGTATGATTCGAAAGCTTTTCGATATATCGGCAATACGCGGAAAGAAGTATTGCTTATATTTTCTTACTTGCTTTTATAACGTATCTTTAGCTTTCGATAGCTTATATTAATTAACTTTATTATTTAATACTGCTTTTACGCCGTTTGCTTCGTTAATTAACTTGATCTTTTTATTTTTAATTTTATATATACCGAATATTTTAACCGAGTTCGAAAAGATCTTTTTTCGAGTCCGATAAAGTATCGAATTTTAATAATCGATATAATCGTAGCAGCGGGTTATAAAGTTATCGATGCTAACGGTATTTATTTAATAAGTTATTAAAAGATCGCATTTTATAAAAGCAAGAACATCGATAAACTGCTCTTAAGTAATAAAGTCGTCTTTTTCTCGATGCTACAACGTTTTGCTTTCGAAACTAAGCGAAAAGCAAAAAGCTTTTAATATACCGACTTCGGCGCTTTTAACGAGGCCGATTATTAGTTTTTTAAATCGCTGCCGTTGCTATTCGAAGACTTATCGTAATAAATAAAGCTTATATTTTATTTTTTTAAGCGATCGATAACTTTATCGTATTAATTCGTTTTATCGCTTACTTTAGCTTGAATAACTTAGCTCGTAGACGGATTAATAATTATAATAATAACAAAGCTATTTTTATAATTCGAAAAGTATCGAAGACCGATTTTCGCTTTGCGTATAAAAAAGTAACCGAATATAAGTCGAAACCTTAGCGAATTTATAACGTAGAATCAGATACGAATCGTAGCATTTCCGATATTAATAAACATATTATCGGCGTATCCGATAAAGCGCGATAATAAACCGGTGATTATTCGAAAGTTTATCTTTTAATCGTAAGTTATAAAAACTTCGAATTTAATTGCGAAGTTATAAATAATAACGTTAACTTTTACATTTATATCGAGTATAGCTTGCGTATTAATGATTAAAGATTATCCGAGTATATTAACGATGATTTTAAGAGTTAACGAATAATAATAAAAGTATTTAAAGAATAGTTAATTAAACGTTAAAGCTAGATCGATTTCCGCCGAAAAAGGTTTTGTATTACTTTCGATTACGGTCCGCAAAATACGCCGATTTTTACGAATAAATTAATCGAAAAAAAGATATTAAAATTAAAAAATACCGTAAAATACAGCTATAAAGAAAGTCGGAATAAAGCCGATGATAAAAATAGAGCAAAACCGTTTTTAAATCGAAAGCGCTTCGAATGTTAAAATCGCGAAGCGTCGGCGGTGTTTAGTTTAGTTGCTACGGATGTTCTTTTACAATTAAGGCTTAATTATCTAAGAAAATTCGAATAAGCGTTTAAGCTAAGACCGTTAAGCAATAGCATTTTTATATAAGATCCGTTTTAATCGAGCAAAGACTTATATAAGGTTCGCTTTATTAATAATTCGGCCGTAAGTTAAAGTAATAAAAGAAAAAAAAAAGTAAATTCTTGCGATAAAGCGCTTTATCGATAAAGCGATTCGTAACTTTGCAAAATAAATCGCTATTAGATAAAAAGATATTACTTTTTTTTTAAATAAATCGTTAAAGCTTTAAAGCAAGTCCGTTTTTTACCGGATCATCCGTCGCTTTCGGTATAAGCTTGCTACTTATAATTAAGCAATCTTCCGAAGCTTTCGCAACGCTAACCGTAGCTTAAAAGCAATTAATAGCGCTTTCGTTAATAAAAGTTTATTAAATTATCTTATCGATTATACTTTCGAAAGAAGATCGTTTAAAAGTAAAAAGAGCAGCGAAAAACGCAATAATTTTATTAAGAGTTAGATTTTTAAGCAAATCGCGCTTTTTTAAGAGCTTAATACAAATCGTTTCGTAGTTTATTTTTAAAGAAAAGATTACTTTGTTAAGCTTTTCGTATGATTTAGCAATCTTAAAAGGCTTAGCCTTAAGCTTAAGCGCAGCTTTAAAAGCTTTTAGTAACGTAACGAGCAGATTCCGTAAGTCTTTCGGTCGTAAAGCGTTTCGGTTTAAAATCGCGGTATAAGCGAGCTCGAGTTTATTTATTTTTATTAATTTAACGAAAGTAACTTTAAGTTAATTATAAATAGATTAAACTTTTGCTTTTGCCGAAAAAGCGTTTTTTAACGAGTATAGCGTAACTCGAAAAGCTGCGTTACGCGCTCGAGTCTTTATCGATACAATAGTAGCTTTTGTATTAAATACGTAAGCATATAAATTCGCCGATATAATACATTGCTAGCGAATTATATTCGAAGTATTAAAGTCGTTAATACGAAAAGCTTTCGCATTGCCGCCGTTAGCTGCTCGAATAAGCGCTTTAATGCGTTTTCGTATAGCTTTTTTAATAGATTCTCGTTATGCTTTTAAAGCTTTATAACGACGCTTAAAATTAAGATCATTTATCGTTTTACGAACTCTTTTTAAAACTTGCTCGTATTTAAAAGTATCGTTTCGAAACTAAAACGGAATCGATAATATTTTTTTTTAATATAATTTTATATATATTAAGTCCGCTTCGTTAAAGTAAAAAGCTAGTTCGTATTAAAGTATAAATAAGTAGCATTAATTTTAATTAGGCTGCTCCATAGGGTGGGGGCCCCATGGGGTTTTCCTCCCCATTCCCCCCATAGGGTCTTGGCCGATGGGGGACTTTTTTTTTTAAACCCCATGAGAAGGATTTTTTTAAGTCAAATTCCTCACGAGGGATGGGGAAACCCTATAAGTTTAAAGTAGGACAGCTAAAAATAATATATATGAGGCCGCTAAAAATAAAACAAATTTACGAATATTTACTAATTTTACTTAATTATTATATTTATTTATTATATTTATTAATCACATATATTATACTTTACAATTACATTGCATTACATTATAATAAACTAAAATTACTAAACAAAACTTCTAGTCATGATTTCCCGCAATTTCTTAACTAACGCCATATCTTTGTTTTGAATCGTTACTCGTTTAGCGTGAATAGCATATAAGTTCGTCACTAAAAGTAATTAGTAAATCGATTAGTAAATCGATTAGTAAATCGATTAGTAAATAAATATATAAGTACTTACTTTTAAACTCTCTTACGAAGAATGCCTTTAAAGCTTCTTGTAAACATTCTAAAGCACCGCTTTAAAATTTAAAGTCTTGTTTAAAATCGTAAGTGATCTTTCGAACAAGACGCTAGAAGGGAGTCTTTTTAATAAGAAGCTCGGTGCCTTTTTAGTATCGTCGGATCTCTCTTAACGCAATAGCTATATAAATCAGTAATTGTACTTGAGAATCAATTTATTAATTGATTGAACTTACTTCTTGGCTTGTAGCGACGGCGCTTTCGTTAGCTTAGACTTCCTTTTTTCGCAACAACTGCAGACTTCTTAAGATACTTGCCTTTTTTAGATTTTTAACGAAAAGAAGTTTTAGCTGCCGAAGGTGATTTGCTAGCTGATAGAACGGAGCGAGCAGCTTTAGCCGTCGAGAGTGATTTTTTAACTCTTTTGTGTTGAGAGAAAGGAATATCATTTTCACTTGAGTTTTCCTCATCATCGCCTTGCTCTTCTTCATCTGTATCACTATAAAGCATCGTTTTCGTCGCGGTTTTTGTAGCTATAATTAGGCCCGGGACAGTGAAAGACCTTTTAGGAGCTTTTTGCGCGAAAGCTTTTTTAGTGCGATTGCTAATAAAAGCAGAAGAAGGTTCAGCAGCTGCAAAAGAATTGTTTTTAGCACTTAAGTCGTAAGACGGATCTTCGTTTTGAAGCTGAGCTGATACACTCGCTTGACTCGTCGATTGTTGTGTTGCTTTTAAAGCAGTTCTAAAACAATTAACGAACGAAAGAAAAAGGTTTAAAAAGATTAAACTTACTAAAAGCTATTGGTACTCATGCTAGTATTGTTAAGAACGATGCTTTTGTTCATTTCGGATTGAATAGCCGGAGTATATCTGATTGCGTTTGCTAAAGAAAAATTTGATTAATAAATATTTACTAATCATAAGTCAAAAACATTACCGGATCGAGGTCTAAGAGATGATAAGTGCTGGTCTGTATTTGCGCGAGAGTTTATTAGTGTTTAAAAAGCGTCACCTAAAATAATAGAAATTAGCAATTATTAATTAATAAAGTAATTAATACTTACTAGCTTGACCTTAAGAAATTCGGCGAGAAAGGGACGAAGATAAATCGGTTCTTTGTTATGGACTTGCAATACCGCGCGGAGTTTTAAGAATTTTTATAAATGCTTGTCAGCCATTTGCAATTGATTTACTAATCAATTTACTAATCAAATACTAACCGGATGGCTGTCGAGTTGTAGTAGCGCGGCGCTCAGCAAAAGTAAGGTCAAGAATTTCTTGTAAATGCTTGTCAGCTATTTGCAATTGATTTACTAATCAATTTACTAATCAAATACTAACCGGATAGCTGTCGAGTTGTAATAGCGCGGCGCTTAGCAAAAGTAAGGTCTGGCGCATCCGTAGCCAATTGAGCTTTGCTAGACTAAAGATAAAGATTTGCGCTAAGCAAAGTAACTGAAAAAGTATTAGTAATACTCCGATTAATTAAATATAAACTTACTTTGTTCACTTTGCAAATTTAAGTTTTCTTTTTCTACGCTTTCGCCGCGTATTGTATCTGCTTCACTTTCTTATGCTTCGTCCTTATCTGCTTGACCCTCAGCCGCTTGACCTTCAGCCGCTTGACCCTTAGCCGCTTGACCTTTAGCCGCTTGACCTTTAATCGCTTGATTCTCAATTGCTTTATCAATTAACTTATCTTGGCTTGCGTTATCTCCTTTAGCCGTAATGCTTAGTATATCGATAGAGGGAGGTCGGTCCGAAAGCAAAGGTTCGTTTAGTAGAAAGGCCATTTAAAAGTATTAATAAAGGGACCTGATCGCGATAATCTAGTTTACGATTAATAAGTTGATAATTTTAAACAAGAAAGGGACGACCTTACAAAGCAATGAATAGCGTTGTATTCAAAGGCGTAGCAAATAAGAAAGCGATAGTTGTAATTGATTATTAAGTAATAGTAGAAAGGAATCAGACTTTACTTTGTAAAGTAAAAATTGCGCGGGGCGGCCGCCTTATCTTAGCTGCGGCTGCCTTATCACCTCGTGAATTCACTAGCGGCCGCGCTAAGATGTTTTAAAAATAGAATATACGAGTTCACTTTTAATCTTAACACTTTTATTCTATTACCTTTGATTTTACCTCAAACAATTACTCTTAACGTTTAGCTTCTTTATAATACTATTCAATATGGCCGCCTATTAGCTTGATTCGATGGAAGGTATCATTGCAAATACAGATCAGCTTGATTTGATAAAAAGGATTGAAAAATCTATAATAAGAATCATTTTCTTATTTACTAATCTATTTACTAATCAAAAACGTCTTTCTTAGAATGCGGCCGATACGACGGCAATCGTGGCGGCAAGCAATCCGGTGCTAAGAAACCTTGGCAAGCGCAAAGTAAGTATCTTTTTTACGTAGTATTCTAACCTTTATTAATTTATTAATTTTTCTTAGAGAGGAAGGCCAGAGAAAGGCCAATTATCAACCAATCCTTATACGATAAGGGCCAATGCTCGTACAGCAAAGCTGAAACAAGATCCTTAAGCAGATGAGCTTCGAAAAGCTAAAAGACGAGATCAAGCGGCCGCTAATCAGTTTTCTGCAATTTAGAAACAAACCTTAGAATATTCTTAAGCATTAGAAGCTGAAAAGAAAACTCGATAAGCCGAAATGCGAAAGAATCTTATGGATAAACGGTACTTTTTCTTTTTTTTGATTTACTAAGCAATTTATTAATCGATTTTAAAAAGAATCGAAGCATCTACGCGGATAATCTTGCTATGCAAGCCGCTTCTTTTACAACTAGATTCAATAATAGAAAATACTTGAATAACGATTAGGTTGATAAAGCATTCAATTCAAACGAAAAGGTTTATAAAGAATTTAATTTGCGAAAAGACGAAAAAGAAAATAGTAATATACCTCGCGATAGATACGTCTCGATTACCGATAAAGAGATAGAAAAGGTCACTCGGCAATTAGCACGTCAGCACGCATAAGTAAGCATTTATTTTATTTAAATATTTATATTTTGCTAATAATATAAAGTTACGCTATATAATGACCGTTTGGCAATTTCGTCGCTACTAGCAAAGTGTAGCGCGGTCTTTAACAAAGAAGTGCCGAGCTGCTAATTTAAAGAGTGGAAAAGCTTTCTTTAAATTGATAGCTTAGGACTTAACAAACACGGTTTCAAAACGAATTAAGTAAGAATTCATTTTATTATGCTTTTAATCAATTGAACTAATATTATAACTTTTAGTCTTCATCCAATCAAGCCTCTTTACGTCTACTTTTCCTTTAATGAAAAAAAGTATTAGCGAGCTAAAATTAAAGCAAATACCGATAAGATTGAATACGAATTGCCGGGTCCAGTCGCTTGGTAGAATATAAAAAGATTCGAAAAGAATGCTGAATTTAAAAAAGCTGATTGCGATCTTATTTTATTTTAACGCGTTATGCAATTGATTTGGAAAAAAGACGAGTCAGCTCCGGAGTTGTTTTACGGCGTTAAAGATAACGATACGGAATTGAGATCATTCTTAAACTCAATGCTTAAGTTTATATAGAATAGAATTCACGATTAATTACAAATTTTGTATTCTATAAAAATACTTCTATTTATCTTATTTATTAATTATATTTATTAATAATACTTATTAATTATATTTACTTATTATATTTACTAATTATATTTATTAATCATATTTACTAATTATATTTACTAATCATATTTACTAATTATATTTACTAATCACATTTACTAATCGTCGGTTTCTTGTGTAACGATACGCTAGGTCTTTTGACGACACGCCAAGTCTCTTAGACGCACTTCACATGCGCTAAGCTACTTCTTTCCTTTTTTCCTTCGCATTCTTCGTATTCTCTCATTCCTCGCTTTTGACTTATGAACTATAGTTCACGAGTCCTTAGCGCTTCTACCTTCGTGTATATAAACCTCAGCTACCTTCGACCTTTACACTTAGTAGTTGTTGATTTTAAGTCATTACTTTAAGATTCTCTTGAGCTCTTATATGAACCTCGCGCTCCCGTGAGTTCCTTCAAGTAATCGCTTAAGGTCGTTACAGGTCTCTTAAACGCACCTCACATGCGCCAAGCTACTTCCTTTATTTTTTCTTTCGTATTCTTCGTATTCTCTCATTCCTCGCTTTTGACTTATGAACCATAGTTTACGAGTCCTTAGCGCTTCTACCTTCGTATATATAAACCTCAGCTACCTTCGACCTTTACACTCGGTAATTGTTGATTTTAAATCATTACTTTAAGATTCTTTTAAGCTCTTATATGAACCCCCGCGCTCTCGTAAGTTCTTTTAAGTAATCGCTTAAGGTCGTCATATCTTGAAGTTTTAAATAAAAAGAATTGACCGACTTGCTGTATTTAAAATCGATATAAATATATTAATAAATTATTTTAATATTTAGATTTATAAATTATATTTAAAGTTAATCATATATATATTTTATTTAATATAATAACGATTTTAAAACTATCTACATAAACTCATCTATTAATTTATAATAATGAAATTCAAAAGGCCTTCGCAAGCTATCGAATTTATTACTTTCCTTTCTTGCGATACTTCCCTTTTATATATAAAAAGTCTTTTGCCCGCTAACAATACTAATTCCATGATATCCGTCGTTATGTTCGTTTTTATTAATCCATTCAATAGATAACTTAATTTTATAACCGTTATTTAAAAACCGCTTAACTCGATATTCGTCTATTCTAACTAACTAGCTACGATTACGCCCTTTTTCGTCTAGCATTTCTACTGCACACCGAGCGTTTCGACTATTCGTTCGTCTAATAGAAAAGGAATAATAAGTTTCATTATCTACTTCGATAAGGATCGAGTTTAGTTGGTTTGCAATCCTTAATAAATTAATAACTTGATTAATATATAGATAATAAAACGGCACTTACAAATAAATCGGCAAGCGTCCGTTAAAATATGAATTTTTTTTATCTATTCTTTAGCTATAATAGATATTCGAGCTTGTAGATATAATTATAAGCTAATACGATTATAAAGTGTTCTATCGTTTTATATAATAAATTTTTAATTAAATGCTTTTATTTTTAATATTTATCAAATTATATTAATTTTATTTACCGCATAGCAGCAGCCGAAAAGAAAGCTGCAAAGATTATATTTAAATTAAGATTTCTATAGGCACTTTATCCTTGTATACTAATTAAACCTTAATAAATTTAAATAAGTACTTGTTATAACGACCTTAAGCGATTATTTAAAGAATTTATAAAAAAGCGAAAGGATCATATAAAGCTTAAGAAGATTATAAAATCATTATTTAAATTTGAAATTAATAATTATCGAAAGCAAAAATTAAAAAAAACTAAGTGTTGGATTCCTTTTAAGCGATTAAAGAATATATTCGTAACTTCGTAACGGTCGTTAAAGTACTTGTAATTGCAAAACACTCGGTTGTAAAAGTATCTGAATTCTAATTGCTCTTTAAAATTCAAAGGAGCTGATTCCTTTTATATAATTAAAAGGAATCACGCGCACTAGCTAAATAATAAGTTTACTAGTTAAGTTAAGGGTCCTTTAACTAGTGTGATATACTAAGCGAGGCATGTTAAGTGGCCCGTGAACTCCCTCAAATACTATTAGCTAGCTAAGGTCGATATAGATATACCGACATTAAGGTCTATATATAAAAAGGTTGTTCGTAATAGTTAACCTAAGTAAAAAGAGCTTAAAAGTATTAAAAGATATAATTATAATTAAGCTTTAATAAAAAAGAAATAAAAAAAAATGAAAAGATAAAAAAAAAAACCGCTAGTTAAAACTTAACGCTCGCAAAAATGCTGCTTAAAAAGAATTAAGCGTAAGCAAAACCCTTTTTAAAAATAAACTAACTTAATAAAATATATTTAAATTATAAAATAATGTTATATAATATTCAAGTATATAAGACGTTGATATATAAGTTCAAATCAATAATTTAATAGTAAATTCGCTAGAATTTAAACATGTCTTCTCAAGCTATTAATTCGTTTTTATTTTAAATTACTTTAATTACTTACGAAGATACCGATCTATTTCAAAGTTAAAAGTTCGAAAGCTTTACAACTAATTTCTTTAGCCTAATATTATTAGCAATTATTAAATGTTTTAATTAATATTATATTTAAAACGTTAAAGAAATTAAGACTTTTAATACTTAATAGTCATAAACCTTATAGTATTCTTAATAATAAAAAGCTAATCAAAATCCTTTACGAATCGATTAAAATAAAAAGAAAACTTCTTTTATATAAATTAAATTCGTTTAAGCAGTTAAAAAATCAATAAGAGAGCTTATAGTATGCTATAAAAAGTGCGACCGAGCTTTAAAGCATCCGAAGCTAAAGGCTTTTAAAACGAAAGCATTAGCCGATTATTAAAAAACGGATGTTTGCAAACGCGTCGTAAATAAGCTAAAACAAAAGCTTCGGCAAACTTAATTAAAATCTAAATCTTTTTAACGCAATTTAATACGTTTGTTTTTATTTATAAATTCAGTTAATAAATCTAATAAATCTGATTAATAAATTTAATTAGTAAATCGGATTAATAAATCTAATTAATAAATCTAATTAGTAAATTTAATTAGTAAATCTGATTAGTAAATCGGATTAGTAAATTTAATTAATAAATAATAAAACTAATATTTAATAAATATATTTATCACGAAGAACGCTTTCGCATTAAGACTTAAAATCAGCATTTCGAAAAAGTGTTTTAAATGTTATATTA